ACACCTCTTCAAAACAATCTTGTTGAGCTAATTTCATTAATGTACTTTACAATGACGAAATTGTTTACAAAATATTGTGATGATATTGGACAACTTCTACAACAATTTCAGCAGGTTTTTTTTTTTTTTTTTTTTCATCTTTCTAGTGTTGTAATTTGAATCATTTAACTTCTGAATGGCTTACGTTATTCAGTCATACTCTTCTTGAGCAGAATTTGCAGGTGTTAAACAAGCTTCTAAATAAGCTCCCTGTTTAGGTTTCATTTAGTTTATTTATTGAGCGTTTAAAGGTGTTTTACACTGTGCATAGTGAAAAAGTTTTCATATCTTGCTCTTTTAAAGAAAATACCTGCATTGGAAGCCAAAAATGGTGCACTGTATGAAGCTGATAAAATTGAACAAGCAAAAGCAATCTTGAAGCCATACATTTTACGAAGATTAAAAGTAGATGTACGTTTTCTTTTTCTTTGAGAATTTTTATTTATTTTGGATATCTTGGTAAAATTTCAAGTGTTTGTAAAAAATGATTTCAAAGCATCTTGTCATTTTATGTTGAAAGGGATATGAAAAAAGAAGAATGTAACAAAAACGATAAGAAAATGAATAATAAAATGATTGAAATTATTTTACTTACTCTTTGTTTAACAAGTGCAAAGAGATAGTATTGTTGGAAAGTGTTCCTTTCGTAGGACTGAAACAGTTCAAATAAGTGACTAGCTTATTGTAAAAATTTTTGTATTTAACGGACGGAGTTTTTTTTTTTTTTTTTCTGGATTTAATCTATTTTTGTAGGTATTGAGTTATTTACCAAAGAAAAAGGATCGTGTGATCAAGTGTCAGATGATTAGGGAACAAAAAGAGATCTACACAGATTTGATACGTGAGTTTCGTTTGCTAGAATCGAATGGTGAAAAATACACTTCAAGTCCATTAATGCAATTGCGACAAGTGGCCAATCATCCTTTATTATACAGGCGGTTATATAATGATGATAAAGTAATTCAAATTGCCGAAGTTTTGTGCTCAAAGGTTTATTTTCAAATTTTCATTGGTTTGTAATGATGCAAATGTTGTGTATATTGACAGATTTCCGCATATAATCATCGTTGGAAATTAGAATTCATATCGTAACGATTTTTGAACTAGGCACAGCATTCAGGATTTACGCGTAGAAATTGTTTTGTTTTAATTCATTTCCCAATTTTAATTAATCTTTTAATTAAAACTGAAATTTAATATTATGCTATTCGTGTTTTGATTCCTATGATGGCGAGAACTTTAGAGGTAAACGATATATCTGTCATTCTGTTACTATTGCATTTTGTTCTTTTTGTTTAACAGTTTAGTTATATTTTTATTGTTATTCTTTTAGGAAAATGAATATCGTAAAAAGAAATCAGATCATGTCGCAGAAGATCTTGCTTTTTTATCAGATTTTGCAATTAGCCAATTATGTTCAAAATTTACCTCGACACAGAAATTCATCCTCAATGAAGAGGTCGCACTTGAATCCGGAAAACTTAGGGAATTGGATAAATTGTTACCTTCAATCAAAGAAAAGGTGATTTGCAAACAGCTATAATTCTGATCATAATTATGGAATGATTTTTCCTCCTCAACTACACAAATAGGAAAGTTGTACAATCTGTATGTAATCTTGCAGGGTGATAAAGTGCTAATATTCAGTCAGTTTACATCAATGATGGATATTCTTGAAGTATACCTCAGATTGCGTGACTATCAATATTGCCGTCTAGATGGCTCTACTCCGGTTATGGAAAGGTATATTGAAATTTCTTCACATAGTTCTTGAATCTGTTTCGCTCTTGTCGATTATTATCAAGTTTTTAGGCAAGATGTGATCAATGAATATAATTCATCGCCTGATTTATTTGTCTTCCTATTGTCTACGAAAGCTGGTGGTTTGGGTATCAATTTAACTGCAGCTAATCATATCATATTGCATGACATTGATTTTAATCCATATAACGATAAACAAGCAGAAGGAAGATGTCACCGTATGGGTCAGACGAAGTATGTTGTTTGTATCAGATTTCGTTTGTATTTAAAAATTTTCAAAAAATCTTAGCATCAAAAAACCTCATCATTTTCTAGTTTAGTGGTAGAATTTGAAAATGTTTTCAGTAATCCAAATTAACATTTATTTTCGGATCATCTTATTATGCGAATAGAAGATATTACTCTAATAATTTAACATTTGAATGAACCTGTAAACATATCCAAAGATAAAGATCTTAAAAAAGTGACATTATATTTCTAATCTAATTGTACTAGTGATATTGTAAAGTCTATTATTATTTGTTACAGTGAATGTGGTAAACAGTTTCTTTTGCAGAGAAGTTTTTGTTGTGCGTTTAATATCTGCTGATACAGTTGAGGAGGAAATGTTAGCTCTTGCTCAAAAGAAGCTTGAACTTGAGAAGGAAGTAACGGGTGCTAGCACAGCAGGAAGTAAGAAATTTTCATTATTTTAAATGGATATGTTTGAAATAAATTTAAAGCATCTATTATCATTTAGGCAAAAATGTGAATGAAATGAAACACCTTCACTGATTGTAAGTTAAATACTGTCTATTTTTTTCTAAAAAACTTTAAGTGTTTAACGAACTTGCTAACAATTTTTTTAAATTTCTTTTAATTTAGATAGCGAGATGGAAAATTTGATTGTCGAAAAGCTTCTCAAAAAGGCGCTTGCATTGTAACTTCATCATTTTCTAGTGCATATAGTTCCAGTTCAAATTATTCAGCTCAAAAACACTGGAACAAATACTAGAATGATTCATTTAACATATGTGCATGATTCTCAAGATTCTTATTGCATAATTGTTTATTTGAAATATTGCTTCCTTTTTAAATGTTTAAAGTTTACTCTTTGTTTTTTTTTTTTTCAATTTATAATTTGCAAAAAGATTTTTCTGTTTGGACAAACACTCAGCAAATGAAGATAAGCTGTAATCATCTCATACCTCTCTAGGTTTTCTAATTTTCTTTCACCTTCTTAGTTTCTTCTTTATCTATTCTAGTATCGTAGGGGAATAAATCCCGAATCAGTAGAAATTAAACAGTTGCTACCCAATCTTTGGGAATTCATTTCATTTTACTCCCAAAAACTTCACCTTCATTATATTTCGTCGATCATTTCGATACCTAATGGATAAAGTCAAGTCTGTTGTAGCAGTTGAAAATTAAATTCGCAAGTTCTTCACTTCAGACTGAAAAACATTGTATTTTTTTGTAATGTAAGTGTACAACAACTCTGTAATTATATGTCGTTCCTGATTCTGAATCATTTCATGATATATTAGTTGTATTATTTGGTGACTGCCGATTCTCTCTAGCTCTTTATGTTCATAATTTTGAGTCCTTTTGACAAAAATTTTTCAAATGTTGAACATTTGAAAGAGAGAAAAAAAAAACACTTTAGGATCAATTAGAAATTATACATTTTTACGAGATTTTAAATTTTAGATAAATGCATAATCATGTTATAAAGATTTTCCAATTGCTTAGTGAAAGCACACTCTCACGGTATCTGCACGTCAAACACAGCTTAATATCATATCGCTTTCCATTCTGTGATTATTGATACTCGATCATAAGCTAAGACTTCGGTATTGCAGTAAGACTAATATTTGAAGCTCGGAATTGCAACATTTCATTTGACATTATGAAAACTTCAGACTTCTACGAAGACGAATATGTTTTTGTCTGCTTGCTGGTAAGAGTTGTAATCACACTGCTATTGTAAGTGTAATATATTAAAACAAGCAACACTGATAACAGGCAACAGCTGAAATTAACATACTACTACAGCAGGTAGTGATAAATGAGACGCTCTCATCTTCCTTATACTGCTTCTTTTTTCCTCACTGTACAGTAAATTTCAATTTTGCTTCCTGACAATGGAGAAAAAAAAAAGCTATTGCCAGGAAGTAGTGTCGATGTTGAATGTAAATTCTCATATTTTTGATTTTTACCTGTGTGAATTATATTCGAGAATGGAACATATGTAAAGTGTATTATTTGAGAATAAATAAAATCCCGAAAAAAGTTTTTTAAATCAAGAAAAAAATTATAAATACATTTTGCAAGCCATGACTTGATTGCAGAATGAAAGGAAAACGATATGTGAGAATGAATGGGAAGGGATTAGTAGCAAAAAAGAGGAAGGCTAACCAGACAGAATTCATTAATATTTCAAGGTAAAAAAAAAAAGTTGTAGATAAAAAAGAGTAAGAAAGATTTTGTTGCTTTTTGGTGCTATTAACGAGAGAAAAGCTCAAAATAGCAGCAACAATATATTATATAGAAACAAAGATTGTAAATGTTTCGTTTGAAAGAGCTCTGCTCTTCCATTTATTCTTATTACGGAAAAGAGAAATTCACTTGTTCTTTTAGCAAACTGCAAGATTTCTCAGAATTCCTAGAAATCAGAGAAACATTACAGTTCTTACAGATGAGAGATTCATCATCAAGTGAAAGTATTATCTGAATTTTAATTATAGCATTTACTTCACTCACCATCTTAACTATACACTGTACAATTATTCGGTTTAGAAGTTCATTCAACTCATTTCAACCTCTTTTCTTACTACAACAATAACGGAAGGTTAGGATGAAACAAAATTGAAAGAAATGTTCCGAAAGAGAATATGGAGGAATAAAAGAAAAGTTAAAATTTCACTTAAAAGTAAATGCGAAAAAAAAAAACCACCGCCACTACTTTAATTCACAACCTGTGTATTTCAAAAAACTGCTGGTAAAATCAAAAATTATAATCAAAAAAATTGATATTTACAAGAACTGTGGAATTACAAGAAATCGGCACTTATTCACTGATGTGACTATAGCCTTCTTATCATTAATGTACCACTTGTTTGTGAAACAGTTCAAAAAAAGGTAAGAGGAACATCTGTGGATAAATTATTGTTGTCGCTTCAATGTTGAACTTCAGTGGATGAGTTTGATGGTGGTATATATTAATGTACATTAGGTGCTGGCGGTTCAGGAGCATCACCACCCTGCAAAAAACAAATTTCAGATTAAGAACTAATAACTGTAATTGATCTGCAAAAAATTACTATATAAATTGCTCCTTTAAATTTTCCTAATTTCTAAATAAAGACAAAAGGCTTATTTTTTATCAATAGAACGAACAAAAAAGCAAGAATTAGAGTTAACTTATAGCGTGTTGATAAAACAGTATTTTCAAAAATTCAAATTTGTAAATTGAGATGTAAAAAAAAAAAAAATGTTCCAGTATACTGAAAACTATAGGAATACGAGTTAAAACTAAGTTTAATGAAGAAGTTATTTATAAAATATGTACTGAATTAGAGTCATCATAAAATCTTTTATCTTTACTCTATGAAAAAATCGCCATTTCATTACACCTACCGGACGAGGTCCCGGTTTTCCCAATGAATCTGGTCTTGAACGCATCGAATTAGGACGCAGAAGAAACATCGCAACTGCAAGTATAGCCCACAAAATGACAATCATCATTAAATTGTTGGCACCAAAACCTGCACCTTGTGGACCCGGTAAATCTTGAACACATTCAGAATCCGTGCAATAGCCTTGTGAATCCCGTAACTAAAATAATATGAATAAAAAATGCTCATAACCACCGTATAAATTAAAATTTCACTTTTTTTTTTTTTTTTTGTATTTCATTCATACAAATCAATCTCTCACTTTCTTCGAACTATACACATTGTAGTAGCATATTAAATATCTCGAGATATATTATTCTTCTCTTTAAGTTCAACTGCTAACAATAATATATCACACATTTTTTTTTAGTAAGTGCTTATTCTATTAAAAAAAAAAAGAAAGAAAAATCCAACTAATTGCTAAGAGACTTCATTTCCATGTACTTTTTAATTTTTTTCAAAAACTATATAACTATTCCATCTCTTCTATTCAGTAAAATAAATCTAAAAAAAAAAAAAAACGAAAAGAAAAAAGAAAAACTGAATTGAATAATTAATATTTCACCAATGAAAGTAAACGCCTCATAGCGGTTTCATGGTTGAATAAACATTCACACGGATCGTCATCCATTTTTTAATATGTATCGATTGATGACTGATTTGTTAGTTAAGCCAAATTCCTAAAAAGAAAAACTTTTTTTCGTTAAAAATTAAAAAAAAAAAAGAAAGCATTAAAATGTTTTAATTTGAAAAATGGTATATATCAGAAGTGAATAAATATCAAAAGTGAACTAGAAAAGGAAATGATATGAGAAAAGCAGGGGAAAAGAAAGAAAGAAGGAAAAGAGATGAGAAATATGATAACTGATAGCAAAAATGATTAACTAAACAGAATTGATAGAATTTCACATCGAACAGAATCAAATATATTTATAAACGAATAATATGACGATCTATTTGAATGCCACGTCAGTTCACTATAATACCACCCATTCTTCCATCTGTTTTCTCCTTTCCATCCTCTCTTCTCTCTCTCTCATTCTCCTCCTCTTTCCTCTCTCTCTCTCTCTCTCCCTCTCATTGTTTTAATGTTTTAGCTTGCTCTATAAAATAATATATTTTTCCTGTTTAAAAAAAAAAATCTCACAAGTAACACTACTTTTTAGAGCAGTGAAAGAGAAAGAGAGAAAGAGAAAGAGAAAAAAAGAAAAGGGAGAAGGAAAAAAGAAAAAGAAGTTCATTTAGCATTTTTCATAAGAGAAAATTATTTATTTTAAAAAATCAGAGATTAATAATAATAGTAATAATAATAATAATAATAATTAGTACTAATAGCAATAATTTAGTATAATAATAATTAATTCATCAATGATAATGAAATAGTGGTAATAATAATAATAATAATAATAATAATAATAATAATAATAATAATGCTGAAAAAGAGATGAGAATATACCGGTTGCCAAATGTGTCACAGTTGCAAATGATCTGATATATTTCAATATTTTTATCAAATAAAAAAAAACTCTTATTTTTAAATTTGTTTTGTTAAATTAACAAAATATCATATAGTTAAACAAACAAACAACAACAGACACACACACACACACACACACACAAATCTATAGTGTAAATTAATTGGTAAATTTCCACCAAACATTTTATTTATTTTATCATTTACCCTCCTTCATTTCTTCCCTATAAAACATCAAAATCATTGATCGGATACATACACATACGCACATACATACATACATACATACATACATACATACACATACATACATACATAAAGAAATGCGTAAGACATAGAGATAAGATCCTGAATAACGCTATCAGAGAAGCCGGTTTAATTTTGATATACGTCAGCGTTACGAGAGAAAGGTAAGAGGAAGAGGAAGAAGAAGAAGAAGAAGAGCTAAGCTAACTAAATAATATTGTTCATATTTCAATTTTATGAATTTATTAAAAATGTTTGTGATTAAATTGAGTAATTTCTCTTTTTCTTTTTTTTTTTCTTTACACTTTCTTTCTTTTTTTTAAAATAATTATTCATTGATTGATTCAAATTATTTATATACGTAAATAGTAATACTAGATGAAATGTAACAACGAGTAAATATGATGAGTAATATCTTTGAAAAGTTATTAGTACAGTTTGTTCTATAACATTCATAAATTAATTTGAGAATAATTAACTATGAATAGATTTATAAAATATTTTTTTGCTGTTGATAATTAAATATGAATAGATTTATAAAATATTTGTTTGTTGTTGATAATTAAATATCAATAGCTATATTTATCATTTTAACAAAACGAACATATGGAGTGTGCAATATTTCAATGGCATTTCTGTAATTCATTTGCCACATTTTTATCCATTTATTATAATTTTATTGAAAAATTTTTTTATAATGAAACTTATAGTTTAAATATTGCATTCAAAAATTGCTATGAAATAAGCATTATCATGATAAACTAAGTTTATTCTCTGCTGAAGATAGATTGTAATCTAATCCACAATGACTTCATTTACCTTACTTCACATTTTTGTGATAATAAATCACTTGCTGTTATCTCTTTCTCTTTCTAAACCAAGGATCACTGATAACAAACTCACATCTTTTCTTCTTTGCAGCAATTGTTTTATCATTTACACCTTCAAATCGACATTTCCGATATATCAGGAATGATAATTATGATATTTTTTTTTTTTAAAAAAAAGGAAAAAAAAAACAATTAATTTATCGGCAGTAACTGATCAAATTAATTCATTCAAAGATAAACATAACAACAAACTTGGAAATATATTGTTTGCGACTAATAAAAAGACTAAAACACAATTAATGCCTTCCATGAGGCCAAATCTCAAAATCACTTGCAAAAAGAAAAAAGATATAAATGCAAACAAGAAAAATGTGGCTATTCTTTCTCATTCTTATTTGTCCGATGTCTGAATTATTCCTTATTTATCATCCAAGTGTAAATTTAGAAAGAAAATTATATTTGCAAAGTATAAGCTGAAAATCAAGGTTATAAACTGTAGCAAAGGTGAAGGCATTTAGCTAAACAATAATATAAGGCAAGAAATGAATGGATTACTTTTATGCATAGATTTGCTAAATTTTAATAATCAACAAAAATGGCATTTAAAGGAAGGAATGTGTAGCAAAAACTGATGAAAATTCAAACCTAAAACATACGTAAACTATAAACAGCCTAGGAACATTCAAAAACAAATGTTATTTCTCATTATTAACAACACTGAAAAGCACTACAGTTATTATCACTAGCTACCTAAGAATTTTTAAGTTCCATTTTGTTAACAAAATTGGCTAATTCGTTAAGAAAATGCTCGTAATTTGTCAACGGTCTCAACTGTTTACGTATCCATCGAGAAATCTTTTTAGCATTTGGATTTGCTTGTGTTTGCAATAATCGTTCGTCAAGCATCAAAATCGATCCCCAGTCGGAACGATGCCGTAAACATCTGTAAATAATAAATATCTGGAAGAAAAATTGATATAAATCTGATGAATCTAGCCTGAATTTTCATACATTTTATCAAAACAAGAATAGCATTACAAGCTATCTTTACAAGTTACAAATATATCATTTTTTTTTTTTTTTTATAATGAAAGTGGAAAAGTAAAAAGTCATTTAATATTACTACCAAAGTTCCAACAATCTTAACTGTATTCAAATAATTTCGAATACAAATTAAAAAGTTATATTATCTTTGTTCAGAAATAATTTCCTAAAAATATAATTTTTGACTAGCAAAGATGATTACAAGATATAATATAATAAATTACATTATTACACAAATCTGATGAAAAATTTCAATTTACCTTCCTAAAGCTTGATTGAGAGCTCGATATGCTTGCATCGTATACCATTCATCACCCGATAAGATTTGTAATTTCGTGCAATAATCATCGTTATATTTTTTCTTTTCAATAACCTGAAATATAATCATGATCAAAAATAGTCACATTAAAAAAAAGTAAAAACTGAAAAACGAATACTTATTACTTTTAAGTTATCAAACTTACTTGTTCATCCACAGCACTGGGAAATGGTATACCAACGGTCACCACGCAACGAGCTCTATCATCAGTGAAATCAATACCTTCCGATATCTATTACAAGAATTAAGGTAAAAAGCCAATGAAAACATAAAATATATTTATTTTTGCAGAAATCGCCGTTAATTTCATTTACGTAAACAATAGTAAATGAAGAAAAAAAAAAAAAAAACTATAACGATTACTTAAAATACGTTTGTTAGAAAGCAATCAGTATGAAAAAAAAAAAAAGTTTAAATAAAGAAAGACTTAAAATACGAGAACTGAGAGGGTAAAAAGCTTCATACTAAGTATCAAAATTCCAAGAATTTTAAAAACTCAAATAACTACCTTTCCCCTAAAAACTGCCATCAACAATGCGCCAGTGCACTGTGGTCCGATATCTAAAGAATTAACAATCGCCCTTTCATATTGCATCATAACAGTATTCATTAGTGATGAACGACGTGGTTCTTTCAAAACAAGCTGAAAATAACAAAATTAATTGTTGACAGATTATCCATCCATCCATCCATTTTTTGACTAACTGATATTTATGGAAATAGTTATCACAAAAGACAAAGAGATGAAACAGTAATGATTGTGATTTAAGGAACTGATAAGGAAGATGAGGCACAACTGTGTCGCTCAATTTTTAATCTTACAAAAATCTAACATTTTGATAGAAAGATTACATAGCTTTGGTCACAGGATCCAATAAAGATTGTGCTTGACAATAATAAATAATGATCAATGTAGAGATATTAAAATTATGATAACTACCTTGACATTTTGTATCTGCCTTAAAATACCCGTTGTTTCCATATATTCATAAATCTGATCCAAGACACGATAACTTGAAAAAAAACATAACACACCTTTTGGTATTATTTTACACACGTGGCTGAAAAAAATGATGCGATATATTTTTTTCACTAAATAAGTAAAAAGAGAGTAAATGCAACCTAACTAATAAAAAATGAAAAAAGAATAATATGAAAGTATTTGAAACTAATGAACAAACATTTCAAAAGTTTGGAAATTTGTCCTATCTTCTTAAAACTATAAAATACAGTAGAATAACTTTTTGCAAGTATAAAATAGATTAGAATAACTTTGTGCAACTATAATAAACAAATGTACACCTAAGAATCAATGAAATTTCTCGTATAAATCGATCATCTCGATTAATAATTCTATAAGTTCCACACAATTTTTCACCACTTGGTCCCTGAAACACTTATAAAAACGCTATTTCTATTACTAATTCAATTAGTGCTTTTTTTTTTCTTTTTTTTTTCCTTTTTTTTCAAAACAAGGACGTTATAAAGACTGAAATAAAACTTACGGATGGAATAACTGCAGCGAAAATTTGCTCATCCGGTATAATTTGATTTCCTTCCATTTCTTGCTGAAAAGTAGTACCAAGTTCGGTACGAAAAGTATCCGTCGGAGAGAGTGTGCCAGAAGCTAAAATAACACTGCGACATCCTTTGAATGCATCTATATATGCCTAAAATATTAAACTATATCAGCTTTTTTAAATCAGTAGATTCTCTTA